GCTCTACGCGCGCAGACGGGGCTCCCGGCCCCGACGCCTCTGGTCTGGGAGGAATGCTCGATCGTATCCGAGTTTGGACCCCGGTCATCGTGCTGGCCTGCGAACGACGGTCCTTTTTGACCAGAAGGAGGGGCCTGACCCTCTGGCTCTCGCCTGCCCTTTGTGCACCTCGCTCGGCTCTACGCGCGCAGACGGGGCTCCCGACCTGGGGCCTCCAGTCTGGGAGGATTGCTCGACCGTATCCGATTTTGGCCTTCAGGCAGCCCAGGGAGGCCAGGACGCCTGCCCGCGAATGACGGCCCATTTTGCCCAGAAGGAGGGGCCTGACCCTCTGGCTCTCGCCTGCCCTTTGTGCGCCTCGCTTGGCTCTATGCGCCCAGCCGGGGCTCGCGGGCCCTGCACCTCCGGTCTGGGAGGAATCCTCGACCGTATGCGATTTTGGACCTCAGCCAGCCCCGGGCTGCCAAAGGGGCCTGCCCGGAAACGATGGTCTTTTTTGCCCAGAAGGAGGAGCCTGACCCTCCGGCTCTCGCCTGACCTTTGTGCGCCTCGCTCGGCTCTACGCTTGCAGACGGAGTTCCCGGCCCCGTCGCCTCCGGTCTGGGGGGAATCCTCGACCGTATCTGATTTTGGACACTGGTCGGCGCGCCGGTCAGCGAACGACGGCCCTTTTTGCCCAGAAGGAGGGGTCTGACCCTCCGGATCTCGCCTGCTCTTTTTGCGCCTCGCTCGACTCTACGCACGCAGACGGGGCTCCCGGTCCCGGCACCTCCGGTCTTGGAGGAATCCTCAACCGTATGCAATTATAGCCCCCGGACGACTGGCGCACTGCCCCGCGAACGACGGCCCTTTTTGCCCAGAAGGAGGGGCCTGACCCTCCGGCTCTCGCCTGCCCTTTGTGCGCGTCGCTCGGCTCTACGCGCGCAGCTGGGGCTCCCGCATCCCTCGCCTCCGGTCTGGGAGGAATCCTCGACCGTATCCGATTCTAGACCCCGACCGGCACGCCAGACCGCGAACGACGGCCCTTTTTTCCCAGAAGGAGGGGCCTGACCCTCCGGCTCTGGCCTACCCTTTTTGCGCCTCGCTCGGCTCTACGCGTGCAGAAGGGGCTTCCTGGCCCCGGTGCCTCCGGTCTGGGAGGAATTTTCGACATTATCCGATTTTGGACCTCAGGCAGCCCAGGGAGGCCAGGACGCCTGCCCGCGAACGATGGCCCTTTATGCCCAGAAGGAGGGGCCTGGCCCTCCAGCTCTCGCCTGCCCTTTGGGCACCTCGCTCGGTTCTACGCGCGCAGATGTGGCTCACGGCCCCCTCGCCTCCGGTCTGGTAGGAATCCTCGACCGTATCCGATTTTGGACCTCGGGTAGCCCAGGCCCGCCCAAGACGTCTGCCCGCAAACGACGGCTTTTTTGCCCAGTAGTTGGGGTCTGACCCTCCGGCTCTCGCCTGCCCTTTGTGCGCCTCGCTCGGTTCTACACGCGCAGAAGGGGCTCCCGGCCCCGGCGCCTCCTACCTGGGAGGAATCCTTGAACGTATCCGATTTTGGACCTCGGCCAGCCCCGGGCCGCCCAAGGCGCCTGCCCGCGAACGACAGCCCTTTTTGCCCAGAAGGAGGGACCTGACACTTTTACTCTCACCTGCCCTTTGTGCGCCTCGCTCGGCTTTACGCACGCAGACGGGGCTCTTGGCCCCGGCGCCTCTGGTCTTGGAGGAATGCTCAACCGTATCCGATTTTGGACCTCGGGTAGCCCAGGCCCGCCCAAGACATCTGCCCGCAAACGACAGCTTTTTTGCCCAGAAGTTGGGGTCTGACACTCCGGCTCTCGCCTGCCCTTTGTGCGCCTTGCTCTGCTCTACGTGCCAAGCCAGGGCTCGCAGCCCCTGCACTTCCGGTCAGGGAGGAATCCTCGACCGTATCCGATTTCGGACCTCGGCCAGCCCCAGGCTGCCAAAGGGGCCTGCCCGGAAATGACGGTCTTTTTTGCCCAGAAGGAGGAGCCTGACCCTCCGGCTCTCGCCTGCCCTTTGTGCGCCTCGCTCGGCTCTACGCATGCAGATGGGGTTCCTGGCCCCGGTGCCTCCGGTGTGGGAGGAATCCTCGACCGTATCCGATTTTGGACCTCAGGCAGCCCTGGGAGGCCAGGACGCCTGCCCGCGAATTACGACGGCTTTTTTGCCCAGAAGGAGGGGCCTGACCCTCCAGCTCTCGCCTGCCCTTCGTGCGCCTCGCTAGGCTCTACACGCGCAGAAGGGGCTCCCGGCCCCGGCGCCTCCGGTCTTGGAGGAATCCTTGAACGTATCTGATTTTGGACCTCGGCCAGCCCCGGGCCGCCCAAGGCGCCTGCCCGCGAACGACAGCCCTTTTTGCCCAGAAGGAGGGACCTGACCCTCCGGCTCTCGCCTGCCCTTTGTGCGCCTCGCTCGGCTTTACGCGCGCAGACGGGGCTCTCGGCCCCGGCGCCTCCGGTCTTGGAGGAATGCTCAACCGTATCCGATTTTGGACCCCGGCCGGCGCGCTGGCCCGCGAACGACGGCCCTTTTTGCC